GTTATTGATACGGACCAATCAAAATTTCTCATTTTTGTAATCTCGTCATATCATTGGCTGTCTGCTATATAAACCCACCCACTACGTTGCCTCACGCAGCGTCACTTTAGTCGCTCGTGCGTAGTGCTACTCAGAAGCTAGAGGCCCTGATTGCTACAAGGATGGTGTTAAAAGCTGTGTGTGTGCTGAAAGGAGCTGGAGAGACAACCGGGACTGTTCATTTCGAACAGGAGGTAAAATATCCTCTATTGCACAAAAAAGGAAAGTTATGAATCCTGAAGAGCAATATATAACATTAATTTCGTTGGGTGATTTAGCTTTTAAATGCTAAGGAAGTTTACTTTCATACACAGGTCGGTTTATATTTAAGATTAAAAGAGAGATTGGTCACACTCCAACACTTAAAGTTGTGAATTGAGAGCATTTGTGTTTTCTCCGCAGATTTGCATGTGTTACCCAACGTTCACGCCATGCAAACTAGCTTCCGACTGTGCTGTTAAATAACTCTAGGAGAGGAGCACAAGTTAACGGCTGCGAGCTTGTACTTATTAAAAGCATGGCGTTATTACTGGGATAATGTGGCTAAAATGAAGGACCTGCCTTTCAACCTGCAACCTTTGATCATTTGCGGACTGCGACGCGGTAATAATTAACGACTGGAACGCCTGTTGCGTAAGCTCCGACATTTTTTTTGAAAATTAGTACCTCGGTATTTATATATATATTTTTTAATAAAAATTGCAACCAAAACCTAGCGTACATGGTTTAGCATGTTTTTTTTTTTCTTCTCTCAGCTGGGTGCTATGGAAGTGTAGCAAACGTTTACACCATTTAATTTTTGCTGAGTCATTCCCTGTCTTGCCTCATGGTGAGGGAATGGTCGGGTCACCACTTCATTCACTTTTGTTTAAAGTTTTGATTTCTTATATATGTTTATATATTGCACCCTAAAATTTTACAATGCTCCCTTTATGCTCTATTTTAATTTCATAACTTTAACGCATTGTTTTATATCTATAGATGTATTTAGGCCAATTCACTTAAATGGGAGGTTATAAGCCCTGATCAAATCACTAGTGTTCACCTGCACTCCTCACTGTTACTATAGTAACGACTGTTTACATATACATTTGCAATCTGGTACTTTAACTGTAATATGCAATTACCTTCCACTGCACTTTAATTTAGATGGCTTCTGTCCAAACATTATTTATTCATTTTAGTAAAAGCCATCTGTATATTAGGCTATTGTACATAACTGTAAAAACCCTTTTTATAGTAATATCCACCTGTATATTATATTTGGTACATATCCAGCTGTGAATTTAGTTCATAACGCTAGTTGTCTATATATTATATTCATAGAACAAATCTATTAGTAAAATTCAGTTTATAATGGTATTCATCTCTATATTCAGTAGAAACCCATGTCCTGTATTTATGAAACCATTATTTATCCTGCATTTGCTGCTATTGCACTTCTGGTTAGACCTAAACTGCATTTTGTTGCCTTTTACCTGTGTAATGACAAAGTTGAATCTAATCTAATTAGTATCAAAAGTAACTGAAGAGCTTGATTATAAACTCCTTATTCAAGTTGTAGAAATGGGTTTCTGTCATATGCTGAGTAGACAATCAAAATGTAATTTTGTTGCTTGGTCTCTAGTAGTTTTTTATATTAAACTGAACCTGACTGCAGTGTTAAAAATGTAAAATCAAACTAGAATGACTGGTTCCATGTATATTGAAGGCGTTCTCCTGCTTTTAATACCAACTTAAAACCTTTTTTGTTTGAACTGCCTTTAGTGTGTGTGTGTGCGTGTGTGTTTTCTTTTTTTTTAAACTATTTTTCAAGGCTGCAATACAAAAAATGAAATTGTCCATAGAGCTGTTCTAAACAAAATTTCCTTTTGTTTTACACTTGTGTAAACAAAATGACAAATCTTAAGTCTTAAGATATTGAATTGTATAAACTGAATTGTAATGTTAAAGCGTATTTATTTGCTGGTATTCAAAGCACTGTTCAAGAGATGCATTAGGTTTTTCTTTGTTTAATTCATTACTGCTGCCTGACTCTGACAGCTCTTTTGTGCGTATTATTGCTGTTAAATCTGCAGAATGAGTCAGCCCCTGTGAAGGTTACAGGAGAAATCAGCGGCCTTACACCCGGTGAGCATGGTTTCCATGTCCATGCTTTTGGAGACAACACAAATGGTGAGTTATTTATTTATTTTTTTTTGTTTCAAAAAACAAGTTCTTAGAGGTTAACATTGGCTAATTTTTAAATGTCTTTCCAGGGTGCATCAGTGCAGGGCCACACTACAATCCCTTTAACAAGAACCACGGTGGTCCGAGTGATGCGGAAAGGTAAGTTAATTGAAATAAGACGAGCAGTGCAAGGTTTAGTGAAGGCTTGTTTCAAACAAGATGGTCAACTAAAATAAATCTCTTTAATTTGTAAACTTTAAACTTCAGTTTGCATTTTTATTAAAGATTAAGTCAAATATTTAGATAAACTAACTTCATAAATTACTAGAGAGTACAAATTCCAAACATGCCATTTGGTGAAGAACCCCTCACCCCTTTACCCTAGAGCATTACTTGTCCTGTTAATCAGCCGTTTGGTTTGGTTTGGTATGGGATGGTCTGCTTGCAAAAATAATTGTAGTTGCAAGTCTGCTGTTCATAGGCGGGTGTAGGATTTTAATGGTTCCAAGCAACAAAGCGCTGTCAAAGCCCTATCGTAATTTAAATGTTTTTTTGTTTCTCCTGGATTAAAACTCTTCTGTGACTTTAACGTATTCAAAAACGTAAGAAAATTGTCCCCTGTGTGACATTTATTTCAATGGAATCTGAGATGGGCGTGGCCTAACGGCACCCCTTCGAAGATGAGGAAAACTGCATGTTGCAGAAATTTAACTTGTGTATAGATCTCTCCAAAATGTGAAAACTTGCTATAAGTAGGCCATTTTCCTTCTAGGGATTTTAAGCCACTAGCTTCAAACTTGGTCATTTTGCAGTTAAGGAATATGTGATTTNGGGGCTTCTGGTGAATCATCTGTTTACATGATGGAGGGACAGAGACAGTTATTTAATGTAAATATCCAGCAAAAATCGATTAGCGTTTAGCTGATGCTAACCCTCTGAGGACTACTGTGTTTTCCTGTTCTGGTTGATAAAGGTAAATTCTCAACTCTGCTTTCTGGCTTAGTTGTTTGGCCTCTGTCTTATTTAATAAAAGCTGGATTAATCCTGTTTTTTTTTTTTTTCTTGAAAACAAAAAAAAAAAACGCAACAGAAATAATAAAAATCCTGGAATAATGCTCTGAATATATTCCTGTTTTGTTTCACTGTTTACTGCTGAAAAATGAGAGAGAACATGAAGATTATTTATTTTACTGCTGGATTTTCTTTTTATATTCGAAAAATATAATGGGACAAATCTTCTCTTCTTCTTTTTGCCCCCCCCTCATTCAAGGGCCCTTAGAATCGTCCTAACTTACCCCGACAACTCCCACCACAACCTCCTGCCAGAGGGAAGTGTCTGAAATATTTTGATATTAAAGGCACCTGATATGACGTTTATTGGAGAATAAACTTAGTAAGCAAGAAAATGGTTTGATTAAACCCATCTGGATAGCTAGCTTTTGTCCTAGGATTTCCCCCTAGAGCCAGTGTAAGTGTTGGAAGACAGAAGGACTTTTTGAAAATATCATTACTCTTAGACAATGTCTCCAACCCCATACAGGAAGCTTTATCTCCTGCAGTGATCGACTCCTGCATCCTAAATGCCCCAGAGAGAACTACCAGAGATCTGCTTTCCATGAAGCTGTTACTCTATAAACTTTGCTGCTTTTAACTTACTCATTAGGTTTAAATGCATGATATTTACATTTCCTTTTTTTTTCTCCTTTGGATGGTCAGTTGTTCTTTCTCAGAGTCAGAGATGTGCATTTTAAAGGTTTCACCTTAGCTTCACACTTTAAATGCTATTGTACCAGTTGTTGCTTTACTAAAGCTTTTTTTGTTTTTCCTTTACTGTACAGTCTTTTCTCTCCTATTTTTTATTAAAAGTTTTTTAATCTTGTCTGAAGATTTTTTTTTTTTTTACTTTTTGCCATGTGTGGTACTGTTTCCTTTCATTTGCCTTTTTGCTTTGTACTGATATTTCTGGACCATTTGCACTGGTCATAACAGGATATTTCCAAATATTATCAGTGGAGTTTAATAAATAAATTAATGAAATTGATTCATAAAAATGAGGATGAAGAAGCTGAGTGACTTTCCTATCTGTCTTCCCAGGTTTCCCTCCCTCAGGTCCTATGCCCCTTGCTCCCCCACCTCCTCCTAAAGGAGGAGTTGACGCCCCATCTCAAGACCCAGCAGGTCTGGATGCCAAGAAAAATGATGAAGCCCTTGAGAATCCAAACTTATTTAACAACCAAATGGGCCATTTAGGTCAGTTTTCTTTTCCCATCTCTTAATACTTGGGGCACTGATACAAAAAGCTAACTTGTGAGTTTTAAGACTTCGGCTTAAGAAAACGTAACTGTTTTTTTGTTTTTTCAACAGGACCTCCAGGAGGTTTTCTAGGTGGACCTTTAACAAATTCCACCCCTGGTGGTCCTCTAGTTGGACACCCAGGTGGACCTTTAGTTGGACACCCAGGAGGTCCCCCAATGGGACACCCTGGTAGTCACCCAGTCGGACATCCCGCTGGTCCGCCAGTTGGACATCATGGTGGGCCCCCTGTCGGACACCCCGGTGGGCCCCCGGTCGGACACCCTGGTGGGCACCCCGGTGGGCCCCCGATCGGACACCCCGGTGGTCCCCCGGGGGGTCCCCCGGTCGGACCTCCAAGAGGTCCTCCAGCTGGACCTCCAGGTCCTGGTGGACACCCAGGAAGCATTCAGTCCCCCTCTGGTAGTCTACTTGGTACCCGTCCTGGTATGATACGACTTCAGCACCCCCAGGGACCACCGCCATCACAAATGCAGCGTTTTCCTCCACCCCATGGGCCTAGACCACCTCACCCCAACATGCCCTCTGGGCCTCCACAGATGATGCCCAGGGGGCCACACCCTCAGATGATGCGAAACGAGCCACCGCAACAGCAAGGAGGATTTGGGATGCCACCTCCACACAACATGAGAGGTCCCTTCCCTCGTGGACATGGTCCGCCCCCTCAAGGTCCAGATTCGTTTATAAGACCAGGTGGTCCAAGAACCTTCGAAGGACAGGAGGAAATGGATGACAGACCACCCAGGGGAGACAGGCCTGGATTCAGGGATCGAGAACAAGAAAGGGACAGAGACTGGGATCGAGACAGAGAAAGGGACAGAGGGTTTGGAGGTGGAAGACGTTTTGGTGATGGAGGGAGAGGAGGCGGCGGTGACCGAATGGATGGGAGGGACAGGCTTGGGGGTTGGCAGGAGGATTTAGGAAACTCCCGTGGGGGAGGATGGGAGAGAGACCGGGACAGAGACCGCGATCGGGACCGAGACCGTGATCGGGACAGAGATAGACGGGACTGGAGGGAGAGGCGAGGCAGCCTTGATAGAGACAGAGAGCGAGGGCGCGGTGATGATGGTGAGAGGGATAGGGTGAGAGTGGAGGGAGGAGAAAGAAGCAGGGGAGAAGGAGGAGGGAGCCGGGACAAAGCCAGAGCACCCGAAGTCAAAGGAGACAAACCAAGGCGGTCAGAGAGGCGAGAGAGGACATCACGGTGGGATAAGGATGATCGACTGGCCGAACTGGAAAACATGGACAAGTTCAGGAGCTCTAACAGCACAGAGGTAACTGCTGGGACTCCTCCTGTTACTGTGGAAACCAGGAAAGATCCAATTGAGGAGCAAGCTAAAAAGAAAGAGGAGTCAGAACATTTGCCTGCAGAGACGACTCCTGCTGCTGCTGAAAACCCACAGCCCTCTGAATCTAAAGAGCTGGCTCAAAGTGAGCCCACAAAAACAAAAGAAAAAGAGGAAGAAGCAGCAGCATCGTAGACCTTCAGCCTGTGGCTGATGTGAAAGAGAGAAACTCAGAAAAAAAGTTTTGTCCACTGTAATAGTCTCAGTTCTAACTAGTGACTGTTTGTCAGATGATCATTAACAGTTCCTGGGCAGTAGCGCTTCTCCCACAATGTTTTCAAGCAACAAAACCAAATCTTTTCACAAATCTAATTACAGGTATAATCAGGCCTGTCATTTTGAACAATAGATATGTACTTTTTTTTTCCAAACCAAGGCTTCTACACAAAAGGGGAAAGTTCTTTTTGCATCCCAAGTTTATTCATACCTTCATGAAATCACCTAAATGAAGCGAGGACCTTCTTCACAGCTTGAATCATGTCTATTTTAGTCACTTTTAACATCTGCAACATTTGTTGCGTAATGAAGCCTGATAAAGTTTTCTCTTTATTACCCCTGTTATTACATTCTTGTGTCATATTACATTATTACCAGCAAAAAAACAAAAAAATAGTTCTAAGGATTTTTTTCTAACCTCTGGTACATAATCACACAAATGTTTTTATGTCTATTTTATCTGCATGGAATATTTCAGATCATGATTAATTAGAGAAATACATGCAGGGTTTAAAAAATATTTTCCTTTCACATATTTAATGACAGTAAAATATATTACCACATTAATTAATTTCAGAGATTAAATCTACATATTTCCTTTAAAAAAATAACCTTTTCATTTATAAAGCTGGAAAACTACATTTTGCATTTGGTTAAAAAGAATTTCGTCCATTTTTGAAATGAGTGGTCAAAAATCTGAAAGGTCTGTGATAGATAAAATTTCACAGATTTGTAGATGTGTAATTCTCCATTCATCCTTATTTTTTAAGAATAGCTAAGAATTTTGTAGTAAAAGACGTTCAGATCTCCAGAAAGGTTTGAAAACTGAAATGTTTTCTATTCTTCACCTGAAAAGAAGACTGAAGAAAATTCTTCTAAATGATCTCTTTTGTCTGTATTTTCTCTACTAGATTAAATTTTTTTACTTTTCCATAAGTGATGGTCATCAAATTTATCCAGTTTCATCATAGTTTTTCAATTCAAAGCTGGTTTATTGACATGAAAACGGTAAAAAAAGGACTTATTAAATAATTATTTTGAAAATGCACCCTGTTTAGTTGAAGATTTGTTTTAGTTTGAAGTCCTAATCAGCACACTGAGTCATGTGAAGCAGAAATAATGAAGAATAAAGAGCACTGCCTGGGACACTGCTGTAAATATGCTTTCATCACTGATGAATCTAAGGTTTAATGGTAATAGTTGTTAATAATCCGTGATTTGCGTATCTGAAACACATTGACACATAGAAAGAACCGCAGAAACCTGTTGCTTTAACGTTTTTAACTCCTTGGTTTGAAAATTGACGAATGTTTCTATGACTTCTTTTCGATGTGAAAGACATGGACATAAAAACGTCAACGTTTCAGCCATAGAAACTTGTTTTTAATAAACTATTTTTGTACCAAATGTTTTTGCTTCTTTCCCCCCGTGCCTAATTGGTGATTATATATTTGTTTCTGTTCACCCTTGTCTGATAAATGCTGAAGTGTAAAATATGTAACCTGCCTGTGTACATTTTTGGAGTAAGCCAAGAATTGATTACATGGTTCAAAAGAACGTGCTCTTTTTATTAAAGTGAGGTCTCATCATAAAAGGCCAATTGGATGTTCAGCTCCACTGGTTTTCTTTCAGATGCTCAAAAAAGGTCGCATCATGTTATTGCTCCTGTTTTTTTTTTTTTTTTTTCTTCATACATTTACACTTAGACTAATAGATATATTGTAAACACTGGATCTAGGATAAATTGCAAAAAGTAGAGTGAGAAATTTTTATACTTAGTCTAAATATGAGCAGTAGAATGACAGCAATGCAGGTTTATGCCATGTTACTATTGAATTTCCAAAGCTTCAGAAAATATGCCACACAGCATTTAGTACAACAACAGTTTACTTAATATATGTACATTAAATAAAACAAGTTAATTAAGAGGATAAATAAGAAATGTGATTGAAGTAACATTATTTCAAAAATCTTTTTATTCTCAACCTGGGAAGAAGATACTTGAGTCCAGATGGAAACAAACATCAGTTCTGTATTTCTATTTTTTGTTTTGTTCGAGAATCCTATCATAAAGTTTGAGCAGTGACTCATCTGGGTAAAGGAAAGTTGTCCCTGAGGACAAAGCTTGTGGACCATAGCTTGTGGTAGTAAATATTTGTAAATCAAATATGAGTTTCTAGCCACTACATTGTAGTCAGTTAAGTCTTCATTCGACAAATTCCCCCACCTGAGCTGAGCAATGCTGCAGCTCTTCCAAGGGTAACCATGAGCCTCTTGGCTGCTTCTCTATATAATGCCCAGGTAGTCTGACATACTGGTAGTCTGTTGGTGACTTGTCAAATATTGGTACATTTGAAGTTGTATATATACGTATATTTTAACATTTTCAGATCATGAATTGGTTATTGTTCAGTCAGCTGGTTTGCCGATTTATCACAAAAAGTCTCAAGTTTGTCACCTAGTATGAACAACGTATAGAAATGCACACATGGCCATATCTGGGAGGCAAAGGCATATCAAAATATATTAAAAAAAATACATTTAGGCTAGAGATTCACTTTGAGATTTTTTTTTATTAGCCACGTTTGATAGGCTGCCCACAAAGTCTTTACCCTTTATAGGGCAAGTTACTGTTTTTGATGACTTGCATACCCCTTACAAGTGGCATCCCCCTCACTGAGGTCCAGAAGCAGCCGTTCTATATTCAGCCATTCAGCAAAGATTCTGCTACATGGTTGCACAGCTTATTTTGGCATTTGACCAATTAGATGAGCTCTTGAATGATATATTACCTACTCTAAATTAAGTTAAAAAAGGTAAAAGGCTATTTGAAA